TGAACTAGCCACAATTTAACTCTTGAAGAGCCGCATGCGGCTCGCCAGCCACAGTTTGACCACCCCTGGAATATACCAAAAATGCCACAACTATACAATACAACTGTAGTTATCAAAATATTACCTGCTACCTAACTATTCACTGTTCAGTAGGCGTTAATGCGTGTGCACCAAACTACGAACGGACTTATGTAACAACCCTAATACTTGTATTAGAACTTGTTTTTAGTCAATATGACCCTTATTTTTGCATATTTAACATAATTACGATTATAAAAGTTTGAAATATTAAAAAGAAAAGTACACATAGCTTTATTAAAATAGCAAAACCCATCCTAAATAAATCAAAGAATTCAACACTAATTAATTAAACAATTTATTAACATTAAAATTGTCACTAATTGCTCTTCACTTCTAGTTGCAATAAAATAATTTACGTAATAAGTACTTACGTTTGTATATGTAGTGTGAGAAATTAATTATTTCAAACTAGATTTACACTCAGAATATTTATATATTTACAAGGATCTGCAATAAGTGTCTATTCCAGACTAACCATAACTGACATAATGAGATACAAACAAATTAAATAAAAATAGATTGGTTGCATCATTATTGCTGCGAAAGACTAAAACCGGGACTCTAAATAATTACTGACATTGCACAGGCCACACTTCTACATTCTTCTTCTTTTCTTTATTTTTGTTTTCTTTGAGTATATTGAAATAAAAGGTACCGGTACTTTGAAAATGATTTATTTTCTTATTGCAATTACAGTTTAACACTAAGAGTCATTGATTTTACACAGTTAAAAAAAAACACGCGCAGCAGATGTACAATATGAAAATTGTGAATTTATGTTAAGAAATATTATTATTTAAACTAGTTGAATTTTGTAATATTTTATTTAAAAAAAAATTGAATTTCTAATTAAATATTTGAGATATTTTTGTAAAAAAAACGAACTTAAAAATGTGCAAAATAGAAAAATGTAAAAAACTAAATAAATCAATTATTATTAAATAAAGAATTATATAACAAAACTTCGCACAGTGCGGAAACCGGACTAATTGAGGACTTTAAAAAAATATATTTTATGTATAAAAACTAATATTGTGTACTATTTATTTAGAATTTATTTTTATAGTGAATCCGGACTGATCGAAGATGCACTATGTGAGGTATGTTGTAATGAAGTTAATTGCTTTTAATAAAATAAATTTGGATAAAAACTTTTACGATATTTCAATTTTCCGTTATATACTTACAGTTTGAAGTCACAATTTGATATAATTTACTATCATTTGATCTCGCATTAATTATCTGCGGCTTTGAAGTTTCTAATAAATATTGGAATAAAAAAAAGTCTTAAACATGCAGATTCTATTACAGGAAATCATCGAGTGAAAGTACGTAAATATGAAACTATTCAAATCTACTTTAAATTGATAACATACTTCTTCAATGAAGCATATATAATAAGTTAGTTATTATAATATTTCCACTCACTGGTGGGACTTTTCTTTTTTCTCCTTGATTTGAAGTAGAGAAAATCATAGAGCCTTAAACAACAATTAAAAAAATTGATGACGGGAGGTGGATTACCGATGTAACTATTTGAGGGACATAAACAATTTTTTTATTTACTTATTCTGTATCTTCTACTATATATGTATCTTTATTATCGCTTAGCACATTGTGGTTCGCAGAAAAATTGATGACAGACGGAACGGTTTGTTTTTCTACACATACCCATTCTTCGGAGGTCCTTTAATTTTTTTAAGGTTCGCGACCCAAAAGTTTGAGAAACACTGCCTTAGGATAAAACAATAATAATAAAACAATGGGGTTCACAACCATTGGGTCACGTTAAATTTTTAATGACAGCTGTCACCTGACGTCAATGTTACATAAGTATATGGTGTATTATTTTCGACAAGGAAAAACTCAACTTTTGTCGTACAAAAATGGTATTTATATCCCGGTCTCCATATGTATAAAAACTTTTCTTAATTTTGTAAAATCTTATTAATAAAGAATATTTAAACAGGAGCGATTAGTTTGAGTCATTATATTTAATAATAAAGGCTTTTTTTTGAATGAACATCTTTTTGAATAAAATATTTTAAAAACGAATGTACTTATGTAACAATTACAAACAAATGTGTTAGATTACGCTACGAATTATAAATGTCGATTAAAGTTTACAAATAAAAATTAATAGAAAGAAAAGTAAATATTTTTAATGAAATGTCATTATTATTAATTAATACTTACAAATTATTATTGGTATGTCTGTCCTATTAATTATGTTTCACGATTGTTTTATTCTCTAAATTTGATGACAATTTTTTTTATTTCTTATTAGAAAAAAAAACGGTTTTGTAATTTACAACGAAAACAGAATAGGAAATATACGCTTATTTAGAAAAAAAATATTATTTTTAAGATAAAAATATTACGTTTTTCTAATATCCAGAATTTTTGTTGTAAGTAAAGATATGTTAAATATAAATGCAAGTTAATATTTAATCTATGGAAATTATGTTTTACTTATTTAAATTTTATTACATTTGAAAAAAAAAACACTAAAATATGCAATGTTTATCTGGAACGGAAATACTGTTCTGCACAAAGAACCGTTGATATTATAATCAATAATATTATTGAATTGTTGTAACTCAGCTATTAGTTGAAAACATGCAAATTTGAACCAAATTGAGACAAATTCGTTTGATATTATCTTAAAATTTTCTTTAGATTTCTTTTAAAATACGTTAAAATCTATAAATGTTAAATTTCAGCAATATTTTCAATGAAAAAAAATTGTGGTACTTTTTGGTAAAAACATGCAATTTTAAGCTTAAATCTTATAATAACTGATTTATATTACAAAAACGAAACAATTTTTATAAATGTATTTAGTAACAATATTATTTTATAACTTTTTTTTATAGTATTCTGCTATATATTTTTTCTTTTTGTTACAACATCAAAAATATCCTATACAGAAGTGACAAGTATTACTTGAATGTAGATTTATACTCACTTGGTGTTTCTAATTACAAAACAAATCATTTTTGTATACAATATAAAGATTACAAGTATTTAGGTCTGTTTTACGTCTCTCTATAATTTAAATAGTGACATAAATTGAAAATTATATTACTTCACATATTTCTGATTTAAAGCTTATAATAATATGTTTATTCTGGATAATAAATAAATTTTGTTGTTATTTTAAAGAAATAGTTTTTTTGACAGTTGTAACTAGACTATTAGTTAAAAACTTAAAAATTTCAGAAACTGCTTTTAACTATTTTGAAAGTACCTGAAGCTATATCTTTTTATTGATTATTAACATTTGTATTTACCAATATAATTAATATATTTTGATACAATAAAATGTTTATTTTACATAAATATTATTGATATTTTTGTATAAATTTAAATGCGTTTAATAGGCAACCACATAATCGTTCAAGAACTGAGTTATCTACAATAGAAGCGTTGTTTTTCACGAGATTTGCTTACCGGCTGGTTGAACGAATTGGATGGTCTTAATCTTTTGGTCGTTTCAGCAACCCATCATCGTCTCCGATGGTTTCGCAACTCGTTTCGGAACCGAACTGCGGCGGCTACATTTCAACGAAATGGACTGTCGTACAAAAAAAAACGGAAGAAACACCGTGTAACGGATCCGCTTTCCTCGGTTCCCCTGTTGTTCTTTTTTACTCCTTCTGCGTCTGTCGTTGTTTATTTACGTTTTTTGTTTGTGTGTGTGTGTATTGCAATCGTTTCGTTCTACAAAAGCGAAGAGGAAGTACTTGTGGTCGTTCCGAGCTCGGAAATCCTATAGTATTGGATCGCGTTTCATTGCGGGTTCTCTCGCAACAACTACACCACTCCAACAACAACAATGCCCAAGAGAAGAGTCAAGGTCAAAGCGCGCGATGGTTCCCACACATACGCATTCGGGCACGTTTCGATAGTTCTTATTTTCTTCTTTCTCAGGGGCGGACCGTTAACTTTTGGGGTACTTGGCTAATGTTTGAGCCCTTGAACAAACACTGTTTGTGGGCGCCCACCCAATTAACCAAAGTTTGGGTTAAGTGTGTTCATTTTTATTATTTTTCTCTTTTGAAGATTACAAGTTCTTTATTCTTCATGTATACCTAATTACCATGTTAAACATGTTTTTTTATAGCCCAATTAAAAATTAATCATTATAAATCATCTGTTAATTTCAGAACTAATCAGCCTTCATCGTCTGTTAAATTCCTATAAACATTCAATTTAAATGATTGCATCAAAAATCTTGAAGGTATTTAGAGTTACAGGAATATTGAAGATTTTAACATTTTCGAATGATGGGTTTCCACCTTCGTGTTATTGTTTTTGTCGTATTAATTAATGTATGTCAAAATATGTCAAAATTGATTATTGATATATGTCAAAATTATATTTAAAGTGTCATATGATTCTATTTAATTTAACTTCAATAGATTAATCAAACTTAATCGGTGTTCCGTGAAAATCTGGAAAGTAATAATTACTAAATAAATAGTTAATGGTTTTCTTATATATTTTATATCTTTTTATTGATTATGTGTTATTACGTACCATACAAATAAACAAGATGTTCCGTGTAAATTTCAGGATTTACGAAGTGTTCCGTTGCAGGAAAAGCTTGGGAAACCTACTTTAATGTATTTTTGTTGAACCTTATACAACTTACAAAAATTCAATTTATGAACAAAGTCTATGTCATTTAAATCAAATGTATTAAATATCTTCTATTAAAAAATCTATTGATGTGAATTTAACAATTTTAATAATATTTATTGCATAATAAAATTTAACAGTTTTATAGAGTAAAAAATATCACACGACTTGATTAACGTTTAACAATATTTTTAAATCGATTTAAACGCAAACCCTTAAATCTCGATATATGAAAAAATTGACTTATACCACTTATAAAATAATGGTTCATTTATTGTTCCAAAATTTATATAATTTTCTATTATGTAGTACGTTTACATTTTTTTAAATGTTTGCATACATATAGTTTTGTGACTCAAGCAGTTTATTAAATGAAATATTAAATTTATGCTAATGTTGTGGGTATCATAACGTCAATATTTAATGTTCCAAAACAAAAATTAAAAACATCAGTGACCTGTAGCTTTCAGTAGCTTCAGATTATGCCTTGATAATATTTAGTTCGTTATTAGACCTTTTGAAAGTCGGTCGGAACACTACTAAAGTAAATTTTCATGTCAATGTAATTGAAAAAGTTGGTAATATTATATGACAATATTTTATTTTTCATAAAATTCTGCCATTTTTGTTTGTTCATTAGACTTTATTGTTCAAATATAACTTTATTTTTTAGTTAATGTTCATTTTAGTTTTTGTATTCCAATAAATGTTGGTTTTTCATTGATATTGATTTTATGTTTTAATAAACAACAGTTGGTGTAATTTATTTGTTTTATTTTATTTAGTAATAAGTATAGAAGTATGAATATTTATTAAGATGAGAAAAATATTAAAATTTGTGTATCTTTTTTCACTAATGCAGGGATCCAATCCACTGATCTATGTAATGCAATTTTTGGTACTTATACTAGAATATTTCTACATCTTTCTACCATAATTACTATTTTCGCCACTTTCTATTAGAATTGCTTTTTTTGCTATGTAACTATGAAGTTTAGGTAACTTTCTATTAAAATTAATATTTTTTACTATTTCCTAGTTGCAGTTATAGTAGTATTTTTTAGTGGCATTTTTATTAATTATACTACTGTTTTTTACCACTTTTACTATTTCATTCTTATAGTTTTTCTATAATATTTTTATGTTTTGTTAATTTTACTATTGTTTTCTATTAGATATTCTACGTTCCAATAGAATTAGTAGCAAGATTAGTATGGTATATTTATCATTCTTGGTTTAAAAGTAATTTATGTCTTTTACGTTAGAATAATTTGCATTATTTGTGTTGCTTTCTTCTAGTGTTGTGCTGTTTCTGCTATTTTAACAGTTACTACTAATATAACTAGTGTGTATTGTAACATCTTACTGTAATTAAATTACTTTACATAATTTTATTACATATCGAATATAAATAAATTGTAATAAAAAATATATTAATATGATGATTTTAAGTGTTAAAATTCTACCTAGATGATAGATAGTTTTTGTCAAATTGGAGGAAGCACTGAGCTAAGTCCCATCGAATTGGGAGTTCCTCAAGGTAGTGTCTTGGTACCAATTTTATATCTATTATACACTGCAGATACCAACAACAGAGAAAACAAACATGGTTGCCATAATTGCATATCGACACCTTCAAGAAGAGCTTAGTCTGCTCGAGATATTGTTCAGGAAATGGCGAATTAGTATAAACCAGTCGAAATTAGTATAAACCAGTATAACTCAACAAAGTAGTTCTAGCATCTTCAAGGGTGAGATACTTGGGAATGTACCTCGACACGAGACTGACTTGGAAGGACCATATCCAGGCAAAGCGTGAACAACTAGAAATAAAATTTAGAAAGATGTATTGGTTGCTGCGCACAAATTCGTAAGTGACTTTTGAGAACAAGTTATGGGGAACAGAACTCTTGGATCTCCAATTTAGATTTAAGTAAAGAATAAATAAATATTGTATAGAAATGTTATGGAATGGTGCCACTGGGCCGCAACTCATTAATGTTAACAGATTTGATAAATGTTCAGTAGAATAGATTGTAAATAAAAACTGACAAAAGAAATATGATGATTTTTAGATAAATTAAATTTCTACGTTTTTACTTCATCTACTTTTCTTCTAATAAGTGTAACTTTTTTCATAATTTGAAATGATTTTAACACTTCTGGTAGAAAGTTACGATGCTCTCCAATAAACAAAACTTTAATATAATAGTGTATGTGAATTCGAGCAAACATAGTTCGTTCGATTTTGCGTTCGAACAAGCGGCGCACGTACATAAGTATAATCGTCGTTGTCGTCGATTTGCATATTTCGAACAATGCCTGTCTCGGCTCGGCATTTCGAAAAATGGCTTATGCCTGTTGCGCGCTTCTGCTCATCGCTGTCCAACTGGTCGGCCTCGGACGGCCCTCCGGGCTCGGCAGGTGTCCCAAACACAAGTACATGCAAGACTTCAACATCACCAAGGTAGACAAAACATACAGCTTCATCAAAGAAGACAACCCCTCGTTCTTCATCTGATCATCGAATCTAACGCCCACTCCAGTTCACAGGTCGATGGTACGAGATCGAACGCTCCTTCTACCTGATGGAACTAACATCTGCATGCATCGAGATCGACCTCAGCGAGAACGATCGTGGTCAGATCGACGTCTCCGTCAGCACCATAGGAAGATGGTAAGTGCATCCATCCGACACGCGTCCCGTTCACCCCATTTCCGTTCAGCTCTTCAATCATTGCCGATTGTTTTCCACCTCGAACAAACGAATGCTGAATAACTTTGAATAATTGCACGCACGACGTTCTTCCTTCTCTAAACATTATTTAGAGCGACGCATATGAATATGCGATTCGATCAACTTTGCTCTTTTGTATTTATATCGTAACGAATAAATATTGCGTGCAACATTTACAATCGATTGTTGCATTCAATTTGCTAGATATCAGAAGTGTAAGCAGATCTGCATTCATTTCCAAGACGCGAAACAATATTCCTTAACATCTCACAAAGATCAACTAAAATTTCCCATAGATTTTCAAAAATATTTTTTAATAAAGCTCACTTAATATGTAACCTGATTAATTGGTGGTGGGCCCTCAGATAACCGAAACTCCACCTCCCCGTCATCAATTCCATCAACTGTTGTTTAACTCTATATTTCAAACAAAAATTTGCTAGTTGCTATCAAATTTGTTCAAGTTCTCTAAATTTACACATCATGAAATCACACCTCGCTACTTTAAAATTACCGAACCATTTAAGAGCCCAAATAACATTTTACAGGGGGATAAATATTTGAAGTTCCACTGTTTCACCAACTATTTTAAACCGTACTCTTTGAGGTATTGAGTGAAAAGATGGAATAGTAATTCGTATTATTGTAATTCGTATTCCTTTGATACATCGTATTTTTTTAAATTTATATCTCTGTAAGCAAACATTCACCAGAATTAAGAAAATAATAAATATCTTTTCGTTACTTTAAATGATACAATTTTCTGTAAAAATATTTTACAATTCTTCATTTTCGGACTTTACGAGTTTCAATATTAATTTAAATTAGTTGGTCTTCAATTTTATATATTCAAAATTAAAATTTATCAAAAATTAACGACAACTTCTTTTATCTTCAGAAATTATTTATGGTCTACATATGTAGTTCACGCAGTCTGAATACAAACTATAAATTATATATCATTTTAGATACCCCCGTTTTAACAACAAAATGTATATACTTGAATTCTCTTTTAAATGTTTTTCATTCATAAAGAAATGATGATCGGGTTAAGTTTTAATTCAACTATATTTCGTGAGTCCCAAAAAGTTTCGCGGACCACCAAAAATCTTGTGGGCTCTAGGCACTGTGACTAATGGATAAGAATGCCTTGGTTAATACTATAAAATTGTGCACTTAACAAATTGACTATGGAATAATAAAAAAGTTTAATATTTTGAGAAATATTCAAGAAATAATTTGGGTTTAATAACATAAAAACATACTGCCCGAAAATATGGTACACATTTGCGGAAAAAAATGAAATATAAAAAAATATTAAATTCATTTTATTATCATAATATAACTAAATAAAAGTAGTTTTAGTATAAACCAAATTTAGTTGAAGTGAGATTTGTTGAACGTTTATTTTGAACAAATACATTTTTTATACATTTCAGTAAATCGACTCTCACGACAAATGTATTGGAATTTCCTCCTTCTTTTTATCATAATTAATTCCATACACGTTTGTAATGTTATAAAAACGTTATCAAGAGGAATTCTCACTAATTTATGATTTGAGATTTTAATAGATATGTCCGTGTTATAAGTATTCTTTGATCTTCATATACTGTCAAATATGTTATGTTATTTAGTTATCAATGTAAACAATACCAATACTCATTGACAGTTGCCTTTGAAACTCTAGATAATCTAAGATTTTCTTTCATATGAATACCATATTTTCGGACAGAGGGAGCAGTAAATAGTAGTACTAGATTCTATATTTGTTCGATCTTTAAATTTGTGAACTGCATAAATATGTATGGTGTTAATTTATTGTATGTCTACTAAACTAATATTTTATATTACAACTTTGATATTTTACTAATTTTGTTTATTATATTATTTGATATAGGTATACTATGTCTTTTAATTAATATTTATTTCAAATAAGATGACATACAATATTAAGTCTATAACGTAATTTCTCTAATTAATGCAATAATACATTTTTTATCATAGATCCTTTTTTTTTCAAATTTTATTTCTATCAAATCTCTGCTATTCTTTTTTTTGGTAGGTTTTTGTTATACCACTTGCGTCATGTAATGCACAACAATGTTCATTCAATGCGATAAAATTTGAATAAGTTTTGGTTTTCTTTTGAAATTATAATGATCTCTTTGTATATCATTTTCAATGGGTTCTGCTTATGATTCAAATTACGTTATAAAAAATATTAATAATGAATGGTTTGCATTTTCTGACAGTCATTGGAAATTTTTTGAGTATAATAATACTTATTAACTATTTTTTTATCAAGTGAATATTTTTTGTAAACTACCATTGTTTATATTTCTAATTGATTAAATGTATTATTAAATTATGAAAACTATTTGCTTTTTTGAATTCCAACCATTTTATAGAATTAGATTTCTGAAGTAAAGTAGAGAAAAAATACACACTAAGTCAATTTGTTCTATCCGTTTTAATCTTCTTTTTTAAACCTCCACTCCCTTTATTTAGCTCAGTGATTCCCAAGGTGGGCGCTGCAGCGATCCAGGGAGGCGGTGATCGCCACAGCTGCATTTCGGGACGATGGATAACTGTTTGATTGCTATTAAAATGTAAAACAAAAATAATTTCCAGGGGCACTGAGTAATATTTTTTCTGGAAAGGGGACGGTAGGCCAAATAAGTTTGGGAACCACTGATTTAGCTCCAATGATTCAATCACAATTTAGTCAGATACCTCTTAGTGGTCATATATAGATGTGTATCACAACTGGAGGCAATCGCAAGCCCGACAACCGAAATCCCGACGTTCGAAATCCCGAGTGTATCGAAATCCCGACTATGTCAAAATCCCGACAATCAAAATCTCGACTATATCGAAATCTAAAACTTAATAAGATTATTAATTGTTGTTATTTATTATTAATAACATAAACTAATTTTATTATAGAATATTTCTTATTCTTAATTTTTATAATGAATAAGTCAACGAAAAAAAAATACAATAATGGCAAAAGAGCCATCGACCTATGTCTTAAAAGTATATTTTCAGTATCCGTCGTACCTATTAAAATATAGTACAATAAATTAAAAATAACAATATATTAAAATAGAAATTATAATAATAAAAGACACTGCCGGGATTTCGATTGTCGGGATTATGGTAGTCGGGATTTTGATTGTCGGGATTTCGATACACTCGGGATTTCGAACGTCGGGATTTCAATACACTCGGGATTTCGATACACTCGGGCTTTCAATAGACTGTCTTTCGGTTGTCGGGCTTGCGATATAGACCCATCACAACAGATGGCTCAAACAGAGACTCAGCGGTTCAGCGGAAAGGATGATGGTTTGTTTGTTGATCCGCAATCAGATAGAAAGCGTAAAGATTTTAATAGAAATTTTGTTATTAATAAGTTATGACTTTACATTTTAGTGGATGTAGAATATTTTCCCTCTATAATTGAATTATATATCAAAATCGCAACAATGAAATTCCCGACGGTACCTTTTATTATTTGATAGATTATTATTGTATAATGTGAAAATAGTAATTACATAATTGTGTCATAAAAACGAATTGAATTTTAGTGTAAATTATTCTAAAATCTGCTTTATTTATTTACAAAGGTCTGGAAGCGCAACTGTAAGCCGTGGTGTGGCTACTACCTCCAAACGGCACCCGAGTATTTTTCTCTTTAAGGTCAGCACCACCTTACCAAACACAGTTGCCAGATTCTTACCAGGCGCTGGGTTCTACCAAATCCTCGATACCGACTACGAAGATTTCGCAGTGCTCTGGACATGCACTAGCCTAGGTTTAGCTCATACAGGTATCACTTATAAATATTTTAAAGCAATGTGGAAATACATAAATGTCTTCTTTCAGATTTAGTTTGGATTCTTGGCAGAAGTAGAGAACTGAACGTTACAACGAGAGCGAACATCTACGATTATTTGTTGCTTCGTCACATCGATTCTGAACGTTTAATATTATCGAGCAACAATTGTACACTTGAATAACAATAAATGAACGCTTGTTATTATTATTTTTTAAATAATTTATTATTTTAGTTTTGAGTCAATCACAGATCATTCAGAATTGCACAGGGGGTTTAAAGTCACTTTACAATTTTCACTGATTATGTCTTTTAATTGCAGCACCTCAACCTCCCGATCTTCGTCATTGTTTTTACTGTAAGCTGACTGATTTAGGAGCCAGGACTGATCTTTAGACACTTCTCCACTAACCACAAGGAATAACTGTTTCTCTTTTGATTCCAACTCGTCCTTCAAATATTCTACTATATTGTTATCCTACAAACAAAACAAATAATATTAGTATAAATTCAATTTGAAAATTAAGAAATATAATAAGTACATTTCCTATTAACTGTGGTGCGGACAGTTTAGAATCCAAATTATAAAAGTGGTCCCCGATTTGTTTTAAAGTAATCCAGTGCCTTCTCCCTAAAGGTAAAGTGAAGAAACTAAATTTGTAATCACTAGGTACATTGAGTATGAAGCCATAGATATTCTTTAAGTTCAAGCAAGAAGGGTCTCTGTAAATAGAAGTAATTTAATTTTAGATTATTGAGTTAATATTGTGTTAATATCTTACTTTCTTCTATCAAACCAAACGGCAGAATACTCCCTCACCAAAAGAGCCTTCATAATCACATTGATATCATAATTTCCTAGTCCCAATACAGATTTATGTGGATTGATCCATACGTCCGGAGACAGGGAATGGCAGATGGAGTCCAATTCTTGTTTGGTGAATGCATTTGGCGATTGGAACAAGTTGTTCAGTGCATGCAGAGCGCACAGTTCTCTCACCTGTTTCTCATGATAGATTTGGGACTGCATTTCTTAAATTTGAACTGTGGTATTGTTGTGAATTAAATAATTATTCAATCATCATTGACTAACCTATTTCATTAAAACTAATGCATTGACTGAAATCACTTCCTATCTACAAGTTTTTTTAAAGTTTATGATTGTTGGTGTGTTGTAACAGGTGTGCTTTAACTATAAATTAATGTATTGATTTTTCCGGAAAAACTTATCACATTTTCAATTTGATCTACTTTTCCTTCAAATTTGACGTTTGATACTTTCAAGTAGGTTTCCTATTTTATCAAGAGATGACTGATACGTTCTTATATGAAAAAAAGTTAAAGTTTTTTTTAAATTTAATATTTATGCTTTTTTAACAGTATTATTTTTATATAATTTTGTGCTAAAATACTTATTAAATATTATGTTGTTAAGATAAAAGTGATGTGACAGACACTTTTTAGTTTCGTACTATTGGTACACTGCAGAAAAATTGCGACTGGAGTAGTTCAAATGTACCTAAAACTATATAGTTTATGCTGAAGGTTATTGCTGTCAAAATAGTGATTGCAAAATAAACTACTTATTTTTTTCATGCAATTCGGGAATGCCTTATCAACAAATGGATGATAAGAGCGACGTCGATAGTCAGAAACCAGAAAAGATGTTCACGCTGAAGAAGTGGAATGCCGTTGCAATGTGGAGCTGGGACGTGGAGTGCGACACCTGTGCTATCTGCAGAGTGCAGGTGATGGACGCCTGTTTGAGGTGTCAGGCAGAGAGCAAGACTGATAATTATGGGAAGCAAGAGTGTGTTGTTGTCTGGGGGGAATGCAATCACTCGTTCCATTATTGCTGCATGTCTTTGTGGGTGAAGCAGAACAACAGGTGTCCGCTGTGCCAGCAGGAGTGGTCCATCCAGAGGATGGGCAAATAAATAATTGTAGCCTAATTAAAATTATGAAACATTTTAATTTATATTTATATTAAATATTGTCTGAGATTTTGATTAATTTTTGTATTTTTTTTTTGTATTAGATTATTGTATTTTATGTTTGAAAAAGAGAAATAAACAATTAAATATTTACACTACTAAATAAAATACCTATATTAGAAAAACCTTAAACCTGGATAATAATATTTTGAAGAGCAACATTTGATAAAGCTTATTTATAATAAAGTTTAAGAAAAAATGTCTATAAAGAAGTAACATAATTATAGTTTATAAGTACAGTGGAATTCCAATATTCGTCATTAATCCTTTTCTGAGGGGAGGACGAATATAAAAAAAGGACAAAAAATGTTTGATATTTGTCCTATAAGAATGAACACATACCCAATTGAGACTCAGCCGGCCTCTCCGAGAATATGGACTTTTCAGACGAATATCAAATAAAAATTGTAACAAAATAACAGGACGAATATCAAAGGAGACGAATATTGGCGTGGACAATTATTGGAGTTCCACTGTACCTAGCTTCTTCTATATTTGAATGAAGCAATATTTGTACACAAACATACAAAGAACCTTACCGGACAGTTAGACCCGAGACAAGAGAGCGATTATAGATATGTATATAAGGCATACCTTAAACCTCTTTATTCCAATGTTTTTAAGTACAAATTCTAGAAAATTATCTTATTTTAGTAAAAGATAGATTTTTTAATGTCGATTTGGATGATTAAGTAAAAGTATTAAATAAATATTTAATATAATTAAATAACAACAGAATTAAATATGAATATGATTTAGTTGCTGTATCAACTAAATCATAGTCTTCCTTTTGATTTCTTATTTTATGTTGTCTCTAATAATTTAATTCTACAGAAGAAGTAAATTTCTGCACATATTCTAGTTTTTTTTACCTTTTTTGTCTTAATCGACGTTCAAGATAAGATTAGTGTGTCGAATACATTCAGATCGTAGAAGTCGCTGCGCTGTGGTAATTCCGAGAAAACATCTATATGCCTTTTAAAAATTGAATTTTAACATTAATTTACTGTAACGGTATATCAAGAAATTAATTCTTGAAAATGTCCGGTGAGCAAGAGGGTGAGTAATTATGCGCTTCACATCTATATCTGAAACAACTAATGTGCGTATGCAACAAAAATAAAAGAACTAATTTACACTTCTGAGAAGAACGGAAGCGACGAGACCGGCGATGGAACTGAAGCTAAGCCGTTCAAGACCATATTGAGGGCGATCCTGAACTCTGGAGATAAGCCTACCCGTATGATTTTCGTGGACGGCATCGGAGATGTTACGTACAAGCCAGCCACTCAAATGCAGCTGAAGAATTTCTCCAAGTCTTTTACCAAAGATCAAAGCAATAGCAAGGAGGTGCAGGACAGTGATAAGGAGGGACAGGACATAAAACGATCGAAACTTGAGGATGAGACGGAACCGAAGAAGAAAGTTGAGGATGAGGAGACCAGGAGGAAGAGGCTTGAGGATGGCAAGAAGATTATTCTCACATTGGATGAAACTCTGCCCAAAGCGGAAACAATTAAAATTTATCAAGGTGAGTGCATTTTTAAAATTACAGTTATTGTAATAAATATTTCTTTTAATGAATTATAAACACATATAATTATTCCGTTTCAGAATCACAAAATATATCCAATATTGAACATTTTAAATGATAATTTGAAAATATTACGAACTTGTAAATAATTATGGAACAACTATAATTAATATTAATAATCAATGGATTGATGGAATAGATATTTTATATTTTTTCAGCTAAAAGTAAAAGTTTATTAACATTCTTTTGAAACAAATGACATTTGTAGTGACTAATTTCTTAATTGTTCAGCATATTTTGTTCGAGTTTCAAGTTTTTAGAACATCAAAACATTGGATTTTTAAAGGTCTAGTCACTAGACTCTAGTGTATACCAATAAATAGCAAAATTATTCATACTCTTAAATTTAATCTTAGATTTTTACTTATATTAATTATTTTTATTATTTCAGCAATAAATTACAGAGGATGCAGACTGAAAATCTATGGATGGGTGCATAGGCTTCGTCGTCAAGGTAAAAATTTAATGTTCATCACGCTGAGGGATGGCACAGGTTTCCTTGAATGTGTCCTCAACGATGTTCTCTGCCAGACCTACAATGCTATCCTCCTATCCAACGAAGCGTCTGTGATGCTTATCGGTTTCATCACGGAAATTCCGAAAGGCAAAAACGTAATATCATCATTACCTAAAGAATCTGATTCCTCATTGATTCCGTTCATGTATTGTAGGCACCTGGTGGTCACGAAATGCACGTGGATTATTGGGAACTGGTGGCATTCGGCCCACCGGGAGGCGCTGATCATATACAGAAGGCTGAGCCAGACATTCAAGCTGATAACAGGCACATAATGATCCGCAGTGAAAGAAATTCCAAAATCCTCAAAATGAGATCGGTTTTAGTACAAGCTATCAGGTTGTACTTCAACCATTTATTGTAATATAATATTTATAATACTCATTGTTTGCATCTCCAGAGAACATTACTTTGCACGAGAATACTGTGAAGTCACGCCACCAACGATATTGAAAACTCAAGGGGAAGATATCTCTACGCTATTCAAAGTGGACTTCTTCGGCGAGACGGCGCATCTGACGCAAAGTTCGCAGCTGTATTTGGAAACATGCCTTTCATCCCTGGGAGATGTCTTCTGCTTTGGTCAGTGCTTCATAGCAGAGAAGATCATGACATGTAGTCATTTAGCGGAAAATACGTTGCTCGAAGTGGAATGTCCGTTCATAGAGCTGGAAGGGCTGATGGTCCGTCTCGAGGATCTGATCTGCGACGTAGTGGATCGCATTTTGAAGTCGCCCTACGGCCTAATCATCTACGAGCTGAACCCGGACATTGAAATTCCGGAAAAACCATTCATGCGCATGAACTACTCGGACGCGATCAAATATTTGAACGACAATAACATCAGCAGGAAGGATGGTCGTTATTTCGAGTTCGGCGATGACATCCCGGAGATGACCAAGCGTTTGATGGCCGATATGATAAATAAGCCCATTCTGCTGTGCAGATTCCCTTCAGCAATCAAACCTTTCTACATGTCCAAATATAAAGAGAATGAGGAGCTGACGGAAAGTATAGATCTTCTGTTGCCGGATGGTGGGGAAATCGCCGGTGGGTCGATGAGGATTTGGCATCTGGATGAATTATTGAAAGGGTACTATGATATTTTGCGTAATATTTTTTTTTCATCACTTATATGAGTTATATGATTGCAGTTACGAAATGGTAGGAATCGACCCAGAACTTTATTTCTGGTACAACGATCAACGTAAATACGGTTCTTGTCCGCACGGAGGATACGGACTTCGATTGGAGCGATTAATGTGCTGGTTATTAAATTGCAAACATATTAGCGAAGCCTGCTTGTATCCGCGCTATTTTAACAACTGCAAATTCTAAGTTATTTGATGAACGAAACACATTGTATAAACTATATTTATTAAGAAAATTTCTTCTGCATTCATAATTATGATTTTTTATATGCTATATTGTATTTTTCACATTTATGTATTTAACTTTAATATTATCTAATTAATTATTAATCTAATATTGATATTGTTTTGATTCAATATTCGAACTTTAACAATTATGCTTAGAAACTTTATTTTCATTCCAACAATAATTTATAAGAAAATGATATTTTAAGGACTTCCGCTCTTCCTTTCATTATTTAACATTTACATTTTAAACCGGACTATAATAAATCCGCATTAATTTTAGAAACAAACTAATGTTTTTATGTGTTTTATTTTCTTTATACACTCAATTTTCTGTTCATGCAATTTATTTGTATACGATTTTAAAGTTCTTAATTAGTCAGGTTTCAAACTGTCCGGGATATTGGCATGTACGTTTATAATATAGATTTTGAAAACTAATGTAAGTTTGGTTGCATACAACAAGTAACACTTCTTAATTTCTACATATACAGGGTGTCCACCGTGTATAAAGGTTCAGTAGAAGAAAATACTAAACCGTTTTATATTTATTTTCTTCAGCGAATTACTATTACATTTACAAATTAAAGTTAGAATTTATTTACCTTAAAATAGACTACATTTTTATTTGTATCTTATATCCTGTTTTTATCAAAATAATTTATTGGTTTAAATTGCATTTTAAATATTAACCAACAAGAAGAAAACAAAATACATCTATAATTTACATTACTGCTTAAGAAATCAATAACATCACTTTGATAATCAATTATATTTACATATTTGAAAACGGAAATCTATGACAATAAATCTAGGATAGTTCAAATTAAAAAGGGAAAAATAATAACGACAATAAATTTTAAACATTCCTTACTCCGTTCAAAATCCCCTCCGAATGTCATCGGACCCAAGGGAAAAGAGGACATGTCCAGGAAAACCTAAAACATCCTTAAAGAGAACCATAAACGATATGAATATAAGAAGTTGTAACACCAATCAATAGCTTAGTTATTGACATTATTGATAAACGATCATAATCGGAAGTAAAAATATAGAAATAAAGAGATTTAACAGATTATTTAACATGAGTTAAAAAGTTGTTTTAATAAAAATGTTTAAGTATGAACAATAACAATGATATTCAATAAAATACATCATAACTTAATTAAATTTGATTTCATAGACATCTTTCATCCTAATTATGTTTATATTCATAATTAATATTTTTTTGTTATAACAAACAAATTTCTTTCATTTAAATCTTAGTTTTTCTACCGAAATATAAACGTTTATGAGTTAAATGAGAAACAGAATAATTTTACTTTAATTGTTGTTTTTTAATATTTTTTTACGATGTAATTTCCAAACATAAATCTGTTCTTGATATATCAGGGGTATACAAATATCGGTGGCAATCGTAAGCCCGACAACCGAAATACCGTCAATCAAATTCCCGACGTTAGAAATTTCGACTGTATCAGAATCCCAACAACCATAATCCCGACAACCATAATCCCGACAAATATAATCCCGACTATATCAAATTTCCAACTGTATCAAAATCCCGACTATATCGACATAATCTCTGGTTGTCGAGATTTTGAGATAGTCGTGATTTAGAACGTCGGGATTTCGATACAGTTGGAAATTTGATATAGTCGGGATATCGATAGACGGTATTTCGGTTGTCGGGCTTGCGATATAGACCCTACAAATATATACCAATTAATTGTGTAAATAAATTGTCAATTTTCAACGAAATTCAATGTTTTTCTTTGATTTCTTTTGGGATTTGAATGAGTATTTCTATAAAATAATTTGTATATGTTAACAAAAAATCTCTTTTTAAGATTTCAAATAATAAATATCTTTATTTCACGAGAATATACATTTAATAATAATAATCAATGATAAATATTTTATTGCGTTAAAAATTTCACTTATATAAGAAAAACGCAAATTATATAATTATGTAAATTATTTCGTAGTTGCATTTTTTTTTTCTACTTGAAATTATGAAAAATTAGCTGATTTTATTCTAATTGGATAAAACGTCTTTTTTTTTATTTAACATGTTAAGGACGGCACAAATCGGTTTGCCTGCAACGAGAAAAATTTTCGTGGACTCCTATGGACTGAGTGAAAAGTAAAATATCTTACGTCAATTATAAACTTAAACTTTTCTTATACATTTTTTAATTTAAAACAATTGAAAAAATGTCATATGTCTTTAAATAATTAGCATTAGACGAAAAAATTGTAGTAAATTGCTTTTTAATTTTAAAACAATAATAACAAAAAATAAAACTAAATTGAATTGCTGCAAAGGGCAAAATTAAATTAATTTTGTGCGACTTTCCATGGACGAGAGGTTATTTATGTTTTTGAATCTATTTTTTTTTTGCAATTTTCGCATTATAAAATTGCGTTTTTATAAAAGGCCCAATGTAAATAGTATTTCATATTTAGAATCTTATTTAAAAGAAAAGTAGAAGATTTAATATTTTGAGTTTAGTGGTCTGTGAGGTCAAAAAGATTGGGGAGCGCTGAGTTAGATCATTTCAATACTTGAATCTGGTTTCGACATGTAAAGGGTAGAAAAAAATGGAAATCTAATGATTATCTAAATAGATGATCGATTCAAAACTGCTATTTGATTCCTATAAGTATTTGAAATGCGTAAATTTATTCGGAAAGTAATTGGACTTCGAGTGCGGCCCTTTGTGTTCGAAAAGTTGATTGCGGGATTACATTTCTGCGGCCCATTGTAGAGAGTTATCTGGAGGCGGCAATAACGAGATAACAAACAAAAAAAAAGAAAAGGCGGCGGCGTTCTGTTGTAGGCCGAGTGCGGCGTGTTATTGACTTTGACGTGGAGCGGCTTTGTTATTATGCGTTTCGCAATTAGGGAAGCGCAAATTGAATTCGTTTCCGGAACCATCAACCAACCAACCAAAACCAAAACCACCCCTCTGTATAAGAAGCAAGTCGATTAAAAGCACAACCCTTAATATAATATGGTGAGATGATGATGTTGATGGTGAGGACGGCGATGATGATGATGATAATAATATCATAATAAACGCGTCAGTTGCAGAGATCGGATTTCAAGTGAGGGGGGTGAGTTGGAAGCGAGAGAGGATGGTGTTTTTGGGGCGGTCGAGGGGTTGCTCTGCGATTGGTGGAGAGGCGCGGCCAATGGGGCGCGCATCCTCGGCCGTGCCCACTTCTTGTCTCGTGTGTACGGCCCTACGTGTGTCCTCCGATGCATTCCTCATCTTCATCATTGCGATTATGTTCGTCGGGTGCTGCCGTCCCTTCAGTTCTTGTTGTTATTGTTGTTGTTCTTCTCATTGTTGTTGTTGTTGTTTTATGTGACCCAGAGTGCGTACTTAACTGAAGCTTAATACTTACTATATTTATATATAAATATATAAACGGACAATCTTCGCGCGGAAGGAACTTTTTGTTTGTAATCTATTAAACACGCTGTCCACGCTGGCCGCCGTCAAACAGGAAACGGAATTGGATTGGGACGGGGAATATCCGGAGGAGGCGTACAGCGAGGAAGATTTTAAGATGGTGGAGACGTCTTCGCAGTCGACGAGTCCGAGGGATGCTAGTCACAACGGTGCACCGGGAGGCGGTGCTGTAGGTGGCGGTGGAGAACGCTTCGGACCGCACTTCCTCGGCCTCCTAGGTGAAGGTTTCAAGCCCGTCTTCAAACCGCGAGCCACGACAACGGCTCCCTCGAACTCGCTCTTCACCATTGACAGCATCTTGGCACCTACCAGACCCAAAATCGCCACCCCCCAGAGACCCATCCTCCACCCTCCGACCCTACATCTGGGACACATCGCTGCCGCCGCTTCCGCCGGCTTCGGCACAACGAGCGCAGACTTCTTAGGTAAATCGATAGATTTTTTTTTGAACATTACAAACTAAAAGGGTTTTAAAAATCCCCACGAGACTTTCTTGCAGAAAATTCTTTTACTTTTTTTTTTGATAATTCCGCAGGGGGCTTAAACTGCTGAAAAAAAAGCCGCCGCCGCGACGCCTCGTCAGGTCGGATGTAGCTGCTGCTGTTGCGGCTTTTTTTTTCTCTCCTCTCTTGTTTCACGGCCCCCTTCGTTTTCCTCGCGGGTATTAAAGAATAATATTATTATTTTATTTTGCCTCGTGCCCTGCGGCCACTTCGAAAACTTTGTTTTTCAGTTTTGAATAAACAAATCTCTTGTTCTCCTCCACCATATTTTTCTCTCTCTTCCTCTACTTCTTTTTCTTCTGATTGATTTCAATATTAGATTTGAATGAACTCGATAGTTCGCAAGATACACAACATCGATCGTTTCCGTCGGCTGCAAATGTTATAAGTAATTCATTAATACCAATACGAAAGTTGCAGGCAAATACGAATTTTCCAACAAACTATTACTTTTTTGAGTCAGAAGTATCGATTTATTTACAATTAAATAATTCATACATCAAATTGCAATTACTCTGTGTTAAGTAATTGAATAATACTAATTAAATGTGCAGAATTTACTCACCTTTTTTCAATTAAAATAAAGTAATAGAAATGCATTAATTTACAATTTCATTGCATTAATATTAAAATTATAGTAATAGGTGTTAATTACTTCAATTATATTTGCTTCAATCATTAAAACTTCAAATTTTAAATACACTTACAGATTGCAACAAATAATTCATTAATACTAATCAAACTTACAGAATTTTGTAATTTTAGTATCAATGAATTAATTTTGAAAACCCGATTTTTCAGTAAACTTTTTTAATTTGTTTTGACACAGTAATTGAGTAATACTAAAATACTATATTTTATTCAATATTATTCAAACTAAAGTACAGAAATACCTCGCATAGTGCGGCTTCGATCATTCCGAATTCTTTATAGTTCGGTTTGAAAATTCTGAAACATACTAAATTTTAATTGAGCAAAGTAATTTTTTTATACATAAACGATCAGTTTTATCCCTTAATACAGTCAAATCTCACATTGTGCGGTTTATATTTGTATGTTTTTAATTGTTTGATTAGTCCGGTTTCAAATAGTCCAGGATATAGGCGATTACCCGCGCTAAGCGGGGTATTGCTGTATTTTGTTATTTAGCACTTTGGTACAATTCATTCAACTTCAAGTACATTATTCTCTTCTTTTCATCCATTGAATGTGTCTTTATATTTCCATGCAGAGCGTTTCCGACGGCTCCACCAGAAGATATGCTAAGTCGGTCACCCCCCAGGGAGATTTCGTCTCCTTTCTAGAGTTTTATTTTTAATTCCGGAAAGCAAAAAAAAATGTATATATATGTATATAAATATCGTAGAAGAAGTTAAGCCTGCGTGAATTTTCACCTCATCACACACGAGGATTTTGCGAGGATTGTGTTGCAGGCGAGCAAAATCATGCATATTCTTAAATCTCCCCATTGTGTGTTTGTATGTAAGAGGGTATATGTACTAGTGAGTGCAAGGAAGAGGGAAGGAGGCATAAGTGCGGCGGCTGATTTGAAAGCGGGGCCCACACCCCACAACCAAAGTGTGAAATACCAAATACCACACACATGCAGTATCAGCAAAAATTTTAACAAAAGATCTAAAATTTTGTAGAAGATTTGAAGATTTTTATTTTAAGATTTAGTGAAACAATGTGTGTGTGACAAGATATCATTTGAATAGGTGATATAGCCTTTCAAATTAAGATTTGCTATAATCTATTATTAATATTATTTAAGTGAAAGAATCATATGAAAAATAAATAAAAGTAGATAAATAATTACAAATTAATTAAAGACGTGTTGGTTTTAGTGAAGTAATAATAATGAAGTTTTCAACTAGAAAGATTTTTTTCTCTATTTACTTTAAAAATAAGAAATTAGTTAATAATATGTACAGGTATGATATTGTAATTGAGTTGTATTTGAAGTATTGGTATTATGGGAGGATTATTTGGATTACAACTGATCGTTTTTTTTTTCAGGTAGTTTTAAAATCTTACATGAAAAACTTTTTTTTTCACTAGAAACTTCGGTTTCTTGTAATTTATTTGAAATGAATACTTGACTACAAAACAATATAATACGATTACATAAGGATTATAGAAAAAAAATGTTAGTAAAAGTAATGTCGCATTTGCAGAGTTATTCAGTTATGAAAAAAAAGCATGAAAAAACTGTGAACTGTCTTTGTTTGCATCATAAAACTATTATATTAAAACCATTTGAAGCATTGCCATTAGATTAATTTTCATGTACTTGTGATGATAATTGATGTACGATATTACAAAGACAAATATTGTTTTATGTTGTTACGCAACTAGAGTAATGTTAAAATGCTGAAATGCCAAATCATTTACACTTTGACACTTTACTGATTAACACAAAAAATGTGGATGAAATAAATATAAAAATTACTTAACAAAAGTCAAGCCAAATGTATGGTTGATATTACTTGGATGGGTGATAGTAAATATTTGTACGTAACATGATATTTGACAAAAGACAATGAAAATAAAAATATTGTTTTACGCAGTTACGTTTACGTCAAAATAGTCAAATGTTAAAATCATTTACATTTATGTACTTGGTGTCAAAATCGATTGTGGATATTACTTGGATTACTAAAGATTTGCACTTAACATGATAATTGTCATAAGACAATAGAAATAGTGTTTTACATAGTTATGCAACTAGTCAAAATAGTGAAATGTCATTTTTTTTATATTTGACACTTTATTAGTGGTTGATATGTACCGAATGGGCGGTGGCACATTACAAAAGTAAAGCAAAATCTATGGTGGATATTACTTGGATGGGTGATGGGTGTTTTACGTAGTTACACAACTAGGCTAATGTCAAAATAGTGAAATGTCAAAACGTTTGAAACTTTTTGTGTCTAAGCAAAATAATGGTTGTAAAAAGTTAAACACAATGTATCTACTTAGATGGGCGATGGTAAAGTTCTGGAACACTAATAATTCTAAACTTATTTCACTCTTATACAATGCGTATTTCTGTGATAATGTATGGTTTATACTGTAAATTGTTAATATTAATATTTACTGATTTTTGTGTTGTATAGCAATGGCGTACCCTGGTTTGTATCCTGGATATGTTCACGCTTTGGCGGCAGCTTCTCAAGCGGCTTCGATGTCCGGTGGTGGCCATCCCCATCATCACCATCATCATCACCACGCGCAGCATCAGCCTCCAAAGCGAAAACGTCGTCATCGCACCATCTTCAGCGAGGAGCAGCTCGAACAGCTCGAGGCCACCTTCGAACAGACGCATTACCCCGACGTCGTCCTCAGGGAGCAACTCGCGTTGAAAGTCGATCTAAAGGAGGAAAGGGTGGAGGTAAGAAAATAACTTTTTTTTCACATACCGTTTATATTGAAAATTAACCATTTTCCAAAGATGTGGAGAGTTTGGGGGGGGGTCGAGAGTAAAAACTTGCATCCGTCCATTCGAGCGGATAATTTGAAAACTCATTGGCTCATTAGCGCCGGCAAACTTTTATTATTATATGGGGAAAACGGGGTGGTCGGGCGGTGCGAGGGTTGCGCGTTCGGTTAATTACAATTTCAGATTGGATCTTTTGGAGGAAGAGGAAGAGATGAAAAGCGGTTTTTCTTTCTCCCTCCTTCAGCCGAGGAAAAAGCAACCCTCTCGTTTTCTACCCCATCCTTCCTTGCTTCCAGCGAAGGAAAAGCGGTGGGCGACGTTTTAATTACGCCAATTAAGTGTTCCGGAGGCAAAATTGAGCAAAATTAATTCTTCCTGTGCAGCGCGAGAACAAAAAGCGCGCGCGATGAAAAAAACACCGTTTTACGCTTTAATTTCCATCCTATTAATATCGAGTTTCCTTTCTTTTACAACGTTTTTTTTTGTCTCGTTTCACTGCAATAATGAAATCTCGTAACATTTCATTTAACAGCCCACTTTCAACTTTTGCTCGCTTCGCAATACCTGACAAATTTATACAGGATAATTTGATTTTCTGTTACATAATGATTTCAATCCATCAATTTGTAACATACATCTCTTTATATAATAATTACGAAAACGTTGCCCCACGTTAGTTACCAATTATGCATAAGCTCGTTAAATCAGTTCAGGGTAATTGCAAATTTTGAACTAAAAGCTCCTATTGATTGAAACATGCAACACCTGGAAAAACATAATTATTTATTATATAATGCAAAAGAATACAATTTATTGAAACATAAATAAATACAAAAAATATAACGTATTTCTATAACGTAATGTTACATAATTAATTTTCAGAAACATTTCTCTCTGGTTATAAAACGAAATTTCTTACTTAAATAGAAAATCATTGTAACAAATTATTCGGCGATAAATTTATATAACTACTTTAAAGAGTTTAACTGAATTTAATTTAACAAAATACAGCTGTTCTAATTACAGACTTAAACATCAATTAACTTCCTAAATACAAAAAAAAACGCATAATTTCGTTATTCGTTAATTATATTTCTTTTTAAGGTATATAAATCAAACAAAAATATAAAAGCGTAAAAAAACTGTACCTTTTGAGCCAGTTTATTTTCAACATTGTAAAAAACATATTCCTCGTTTTGTATGGTAAATGTAATATAAATCTAATATTTTTTAATAAAAAATGTTTTTTTTTTAAATTTTAATTAAACATTTTTTAATGTCGATTATAAATTTGTTTACGTGAAAATGGATACAATTACACAATTATTTTTACTAATTATGTTTATTAAAATAATAAAATTAATATAATTTCTGATTGTGCGTTGAATTTTTCATTATGTAGAAATATTATAATACATTATTGAAAATTAAATTCGTGCAATTGAATGATATTTCTCGCTGCAAATAGAAAATGAAAATAATTGTCGTTGCTTTATTTTCATTGAGAATTAAGTTTAAAAATAAATGTAAATTGAGACACATTTTACCAATTTCTATTCAAAACGTAAACATTGACACTTTTAATAATGAGAGCATGTTAAAGTTGTTTATTTACAATGGAGATTGTAACATTTCCATTTTACTGCGTTAAATGAAAAAAGTAAATGGAAATTACAAACGTTTTGAGATTGAAAAGGAAAAAAAAGTTAATAAAGAAGATTTCGTTTTTAATTCATTAGGACTATCTCGATTTGTCCTTTGCGTTGATGCGTTTCATCATCATCATCAATTATCCCTTAGTATTTAACTAACAGCACCAAATAAAAAAAGGGAGTAGAAGGGAAGGTCGCATTAAAACGAAGCTTTGTAATAATGGCATAGCTGGGATTAAGCGGACGGTGAAAACAAGGGGGGGATAGCAAAAGAGAAACAGAGTTTGTGTGTGGGAGTGTTACATAATGGATGATGAAAACGGGTGCCAATTAATTTGGATTTGATTTTGTAGTTGGGGAAGATGTCAAAGGTGTGCGAACAATGTGTCAAATGTGTGTCGATTGCGTTCGACGCGATGCGGAGGGGGATGGTGTGGAGGTTGTTTCATACGGCTGTTGGGGCGGTTTGTGCGATGCACCTTGGCCCTACCTCCCCCCCTTTGATCCGGCCCTCTGGGGCGAAACAACGCTAATTCCAATTTGTCCCTTTTCTCTTCGGTCTCCGGTCGCGCAGAAGCGCATAATTTCCCATACAACGATACAAACGTACATATCGAATCGCTCTGTCGGAAAATAATTCCAATTTCGACATACACAAAACTCGTTTCCTCTGACTATTCCTTCTGCGTTTTCTTGCCATTTTTCATTTTATCGAATCAAATAGCTGCATCGATTTTATTCCAATCTGATTCTCCTCGCGGTTTAACGGGGCTTCCTTTTTCTCTCTCTCTCTCGAGCACGCAGTGTGAGACACTTCATCCCCCTAACTGCACACACACACACGCACATCCATTATGCTATTATAATATGTCAAATAAAACGATTTCGAATTTGTACGGCCTCCACTTCCTCTGGCTTACAAGATCTACATAATGAAAACAATTAAGTGAAGCCGGACCAGTAGAACCAATTTCAATATTCTCCAACAACAGTAATAATAATAACAAAAAAAAACACATCAAGGGATGATACCTAAAGCACTAAGTAAACATTATTTGTGTCCCACTGATTTACTTAAAAGTACGCTATACATATATCGCGTAGTGTGCACAAATAAAAAAATATAATTATAAAAATATAAGATATTTTGTAATAATTGTAACATTAGTTATAGCGTCAATCAAAGATGATAAAAAAATAATTTTACTAATAATTTATACTATGACTATATTTATTTAAAATCGTTAAACTAATCAAATAATTTTTTTTGGTTTTAAACCAGCGTTTCTCAACATTTTTGAGAAGTTGTTTTGTAACCGTTTGTTTACATTATTTTGACACTTTCACGTAAAGTGACAGCTGTCATTTCGCGACTCATAAAATATTTAACGCAACCCAATGTTGAGAACCGCTGGCATTTGCCTAAAATAATAGCATTCAAATATGTAGCTAAATGTAGCACAATACATAATAACATATAATTATACTTATTTATTAATTTATAAAAATATAAAATATTTTGTAACAATTGTAATAAGAGCCAAAATACATGATTTTATGGTTTTATTTTTAATAATTTATACTATCAATCATTACTATATTTATTTAAAATCGTTAAACTATTCAAATATATAAATAATAATTTGCAAAAAAAAGAAACTATTTGTCCAACAACGGTCTAGACCAGCATTTCTCAACCTTTTTGAGACGCAACATATTTTTGTGTAGTTGTTTTGCAACCGTTTGTTTACATACATTATTTTGACACTTTCACGTAAAGTGACAGCTGTCATTTTGCAATCCGTTAAAAATTTAACGTAACCCAATGTTCGTTTGCTGTTCTTACGTAAAGTGACAGCTGTCATTTCGCGACTCACAAAATATTAAACACAACCCAATGTTGAGAGCATTTAAATATATAGCTAAATGTAGCTCAGTACAAAATTACACATTAATATAGAAGTGTGTAGTACTCAATTTCCAAATTTTCCCTAAATAAGATTTAATAAGCTATTTGTCTACTGAAAAACTATTTTTCTAACAAATTTATACAAAAAAATATGTAAATTATGTTTGAAACACTTTCATAATTACTAATTGAAAGTTTTGTAACTTGTCAATTATTGATTTATATTTTTGCTTCAACGAAATAGTGAATAAATACTAAATTTGGATAATTTGACTTAACTGTTTTAAATGATACTTTAATTTATTGTACGATTCTAATGACTAAAATTTACATATTAATTGTAAAGGTTATTTTTTCGGCAAAGTTGGTGTTTTTATATGATATACAAATTCAATATTAGTAATATTATTTAATACCATGTTATTTCGGACCATAAGACACATCTTTTTACATCGTCCTTTAAATTTGATCAAGAAAAAAACGGTATATTACTGAAATATAATTACATGACAATATCATTTTATTGTATGTTTTTAAATGATTGGATAAAAATAAATATTGATGATGTAGTATGGAAAGAAGGAACCGATTTCAGCATAATATTTATTTGTTTGGGGGATTTAGCGACGGTCTAAGTATAATGGCGAAACGTAAATAATGGTTGATGCGGGGGTGGCGGTGGTTTGTACGTGGGGGAGATTTTTCGGGTGCATCGAGTGGTCCGGATTCCAGACTCTCTGGGTGGTTTTGAGAATGTGTCAGCTATTTTTATTTTCCTTTTGTATGGGAAGTTTTCTATCGAGTGTCCACTCGGAGTAGTTTACACAATGCAAAAGGGAAGGGAGGGCAGCAACGATACGTTGGACTTTTGGGCGCAAACAAAAATAAAACGAGGAAGGGACACAGACGGAAGGACAAATACGTCCTTTTCACTTGCGTGCGTGCGAGGGAGTGAGAGAAAGTGAGTGAGTGAGGTAGGACAATATTTAAGGACATAATTGTTATTAGCTCCCGTCGTCGCTCCCACTTGAATTATTCATAATGTACACATGCACACGGCCCACGACACTCGAAAAGAACTCTCTCGCTCTCGTAAGCCTCCTAATCCCCAACAAATAACGGACTTGCAAGTTCAAATTACCAACGGCAAAATAAGAAGTGAAAATAAAAATACAAATAAATAGTGGTGGAACGAAGGTGGACGGACGAAGGCACGAAGAAGTGAAAATAAACAAGCCATTATTTGACTCTTAAACAGAATATGACACATGGCTCAGTAAATAGCAAATACCACCGACCTAACTCCTGTATTCAGCACTTTAACAACACTTTCTCTTGCTCATAATCAAACAATCATTGATATACTTGAATTATTAGTAATACTCAAATTT